TAAGTATTAAACTCTGGTAAACGCAAACGGACAAACTATAATGACTTTTAAGCTTCACAGCAAAACCAAAACACTTCTGTTTCGCTAAAATTACTTTAATTATTGTTAATCAAGTTTAAAGAAAAACTTAATTAAGCTTATAATTTGAACTTTGGGAATAGTCGTTTGCCCAGAGCGATAGCCCGTTCGAGACAATGAGATTTTTTTTATTAAATCCTTCCGGCTTGGATTAATTATTATTTTGTGTAGACGGGTTTTATTAAAAAATGTCGAAAGTTAAAATATGCTTTCTAACTCTCATAATTTTTTTTTCCATTGAAAGAGGTCTAAGAGTTCAATTTACAGGGATATTGGTTAACTATACCCCGTCAATAATATCTTAGAACACCTTATCAATAAATACCTTAGAATATTGGACTTCTTAATATTATTCTTTTTTATACTTTCATAGGTGTCAGTTAACCAAATTATAGCCCCATCATTTATGCGTTCTTATGAACTTAAGCTTTTTAAATGGTAATGTTTACATTTTTTTTAAGTTAAGAATAATTTGTTGAAGATGTCGACTGGCTTTACGCTTCATGTCTTTGTACGGTTTTTTTTAAACCAATGTTTTTATAATGTGTACAACTGAATAATATGATCATTATATTTTGTGTCACTTACATCACACGTGTGAGCTTCAGTAGTTTTGTTTTGATTTTTCCTACGGTTCGGTTTTTCAGGATTATGTTTTTTAAATTAGCTTATGTTTATTTAGGAACTTTTTTTTTGCTTGCCAGCCACGACAAGGCCACTCTCAAACCACACTTAGCTGGAATTTAATCAGTACAAAGAACGAGACTGTACTTGATCAAAACGAAAAATTAGCACCGACCAGAACGTTAGCTGTTTAGGGTTCCGTTAACATTTCAAAAAGAACTGACCTAATATATTTTCTTCTTGGAAGGCGAATACGATTCAAAAACGATTCCCAGAACAAACTGATGAAATTAAATTCTGTCGTTAACGATTCCGTGTAAAAATCACCGCACAAGTCGAGATGAATTTTGGCAAAACGCAAACTTAAATAGGGAAAATTCGTTTAACCATTTTCTGACTTTGTAAAGATATTAAATTTCTCATTAAAATTGCCATATTATTTCTTCGGTTGTATAAATACCAGTAACCGTCACTGTGTTCCCCTTTGATTGTCATTATCTCGAAACATTTTATTGTGTCTGGTTTTTTAACAGCCAAAGAAATATGACAATAATAATTATAAGAGGAAGTGTAATAACTATACACTATCTTGGCAAACGAACAGACTTATGATGGTAAAAAATTCAAACGGTAACATTTTTCACAATGTTTTGTCTATAAATGTATGGAATAAATAATATATGTTCCCAATTTAAGTAACAAAGTCCATACTTGTTTTACGAATAAGTGATAATTATAAAAATGTTCAAAGTAATATAGTAAGATATCTACGAGTATACAAAAAAAAACAATTTTCAAAATATTCATATTTTCCGCGAAAATTAATGTCTTACATCAGATTGATCACCACGTATATTAATGTAAATTACAATAATTCCTAAAATTTGTGATCTTCTCAATCCAAATCTCACTGTGCTGGCATTTTAATTTCTTAAAATTTAAATTTTAAATCAAGACAGCCATGAAAATGGTTAAAAATGTCGACTGGATGTAATAAGTAAAAAACAATTATCTGTACCTATTTAAGCTTTATTATCTCCGAAAGAGGTTTTTTAAAACTTGTTTCAACCCTTCTCCTTTCCTAAATTTTAAACATTACAACTATTTATTTCAAACTGGTTATCCACCAGTAAAAATGTTCAACAATCTATGTTTTAATTTAAAATGTTAATCAAACACATATTAGGTACATATGTTACAATTTTAAAATTAAGTCAAGTTATATTTTAGAGTAATTTATATTGATGCCTGCATAGAAAAATCATCTTAACCTATTGTGTTTCACTTGAAACCGGAGAGTTACAGTTCCAGAAAAGGGTATTTTCTTATTTTCGTTCAAAGCACTTACATAACGGCTAGGTGAACGCTATTTTTTTTTTTTTTTTTACTTTTACTAGAAGACGGAAATTCATCAAATAGAAGGAAAACGTTGAATATTTTATAGGCGCCATTGTGTAAAACAAGCTGGTAAATAGTCGAGACGGTTTGCTTGTATGTTTGATTAAAACCAGATAGGTAAATTTTACATAGTCATTTTTCTAGTCGAGTTAAACTACACACACGGCGGATATAGTGATTACATCACATAACCCAATTTGTATACAAAACATATATACTTCAGTTTGATTTGTTTAAGCTTACAATAAAATAACAACCAACAGTCGATTGATGGAGTCAATCCCAGGGGAGTCAGATGCAATTTCAGATATTATAAAACTATATTATACAGAGTGATTAGTTATGGACAAGATAGTCATTTTGTTGTTTAAAAAATTGCAATTTTATTGTTTTATGAAAACATATTTTATGTTTATGTTATTTACAATGTTTTTGTTAAAAATGTATTCGAATAATTTTCCCTTTAATTATTTGCTACCGAATAACGATTACTTTAAATAACTTTTGTATTGGAATAATGCACAACTCTGTCTTCGGTGTAAAGCATAAAATCACAACACCTCATTGAAACAATTGAACAGCTGTCCAAAAACCTTAGTCCAATTTTTAGTTCGTATTAAATCGGTAAAAAATATTTAAAAAATGGCCTTATTTGAAATTTGGGCACTGTTAAATGTTGCTCGTAAAATATCAAAACAAATTAAAATGCTGTCAGGTAGTTTTGCAAGAGTTCCGTATCAACGTGATACCACCGAAAACAATTTAGTGGATTGTCGCGGTTTTTTTTTTGTCAAGAAATGGTAAACAGAGATTATTTAAACTTTTGATCTCACCCAAGTACTAACTGTTTATGATCTGTTGTGCTCGATGAACTGTAGCCTGTGCACAGTGATAATATAAAATATTCGGTCCAGTAGTTCGAGAAATGTTTGCAAAGATACAAAAAAAAAAATCTACAACTCATCAGTCATCGTTATGAAACCAATATCGTATCGAAGCTGAAGTTAGACAGGGCACAATACAACGGTGCCAGTGATTGTAAAACAAATTTTTCAACTGTTTGGTTGTGCAAGATTTTTTTCCATATATAATAAAAAATAAAAAGATAAATGATATTTTAATACAAAATTTCTTGTCATCGCTATGCATTTTTTTCGAAACGACTCAAACAACCCGTGTAGGACTTGTAGAAAAGATAACAACCAAGCTATTCTCGTAGTTAAAGCTGAACTATATTGGAAGTAGTGTCCAAAAGCCTAAAATCGTATAAGTGAGTAACATATTGCACAATAATTTATATAAATCTAATTCACTAAAAAATAAGATTGTGAACTGAAATTAGAACTAACAATACATTAGTGAAGGCGTTTACAAGCTAACCGTAAAAGTACTGCTGCGCTTTATTAATTTGTGGCGTTGAACTTATGGTTTGTAGTGTGAAGGATTGAAATTGAAAGGACAAGTAACAATAAACGATTAATGGGGGTAATAATAAAGCAATGAAATTTGGGAAATCTCCAACTAAATAAATGGTCAGTGCCGTTGCAACATAAAGAAAAACCTTACTAAATGAAACATTGTTTTTAATTCTATCTTGGTAAAAACGCATTTATCCGAGCATTGCCAAAATATTATAATAAAAAAAAAATCTATTTTAGCTTTAATGGGAACTGAAAATTTATTTTTTTTTAATTATATGTTTTAATTATATTTGTTTGTATCCTGACAAATGATATCTTCTAAATGGCTAAACTGATTAGACCGATGGTAAATCCAGAGTGGGACAGTAACGTTTACGATTTTTTTTAAAAATCTGTTGTCAAGCTTATTTTTATTAAGGAAAAACCAAAAAAATTACATGTTGAGTGAATAAAACCTGTCATCTCCTCCGCCTAAGTATGATCCTTCCCCGATATGTCTCGACCCCATTGTGCAGGCTTTTTTGTGACAGCAAAACTTTATAACTTCTATCCGTCAATAAAATATTAAACTAAAAGTATTTAAAAAATGATACTTTATTAAAAAAATAATAATAATTAATAGTCAGTAATGGATACAGTAATTATAATTATTAATTTTTAAGAAAAAGGTTTTTTCTATTTTAATCATTTTTTAAAATAGTAAATGGTGATTTTTTTTTTTTATAATCAACATTTATTATTTATATTATTACTAATAAATATCAGTAAACCAAGTACAAATGTTTTATTCGAACATTAATAATGTGTTGTTATTATGAAAATAAAAATGCTATAGCCTGTGAAAAAACATAGATAAATTCTTTCTTGGGTAATTTCTTGAGATAATTAGATATTTATATATATATGTATACTTAGTGTGACACTTATAAATGAAATATGACCAATAAACATTTACAATGGACAACTCTTAAAGGGTTTCCGGACGAAAGGCGGGCAAATTATAAAATATAATGAAATTATCGAATAAAATAAAATATTTCGTTCGAAGCTAATTTTGTTCGAGTAGTCGGTTCTAGCTAAGATTTTCCAACAATGCGGCTAACTTCGTGTCGTGGTTTAGATAATATTATTATCTTTATTCCCGTCATAGTCGAAGAACTTAATGCAATTATACCGTGTACTAACCATACACAGAGAGAGGTGTTCTTTCTAGCACGTTTTCCGTGATATAATTAAAAATATTATAACATTACACCAGACTTTACAGACTAAAATGTAATAATTGATTTAGGTCTCAAATACCGGCGACATAATATTGTACTCTAATGGAATAACGAAAATCAATTATAACGTATCGCGTAGCCGCCACTGAACTAATTATAGTTGTAGACAATAGCTACTTACACTAAAAACGTCAATCTTCCGACAAATAGGAAAGTATATTCAAATAAAAAAAAAATGAAATAAAAATACACTTACCCCATCCAATAAACATGTACACTCGAAGTTTGATATTTTCTCTAGTGAAAGTCTCCACGACCAAAATGTACAAGTATAGGCCTTTATTTAAAAAAAAATAATCGTTTAAACAAATCAAATTTTATAGCATTTTTTCTATAATGTACTGTTGTAATTTATTTACATATTATTTTACTCACCTTCGACAAACATCCAGAAAAAGTTGGACAGCAAAAAGTATTTCAAGAAAAACGCAACCGCTATACACATTGCAGGATTAGTGTAAATCAAACTCTGAAACATAAAATGATATAATATGTTTTAAACATTAAAAAATATTTTGTGTTGAGTTTTAAAATCCTGTTTTAAATTTTAAATACTAACAGCTTCATAAATAATTATTTAAAGCTGGTTGTTGAACAATGGAAAATTTTAGCCAATTAATCTTAATTTAAACAAATATAAACATGACCATAAAGCTTAAGTTTATATGATTTTACAAACATAAGGGTTACATTTTCCAAAAATATATTGAAACTAGCCAAACTAACTAAATAAGTATAAAATAAATAAATTAAAAAAAACGAATTTTTTATTGAGTCAACATTAATTGCTCTGTACAAACAGTATTGCATTTTATTTAAATTTCAACTTAATACAGAGAACAATAACAATGAAATGGATTTTTTATTTTCTCTTTTAAGTACTGATATATGCAAATAGCCTGGAATAATTAGGCTAAATACCATGTCGCCGTCTCTATAGAGCTATTACGAGCAACAGTGAATACATTTTACAACTGAGCTACCTAGTGTGTATCCTAAAGGCGCCAGACACCGACGACGGTCATTACATTGTACATATATACAAGATTTTTATGAGCAAGAACGGTAAATTTAACAGTATTTAGTCAATTTTAAATTAAAGTAAATCGTGGAAATATATTGACTAGTAAAAAAAAGTACAAGATATCAGAGTGGGAAGATCTGTTAACGGTTGATCGGCTCTTACATAGAAACCTAGACATTTTCTGCAGTCTGTAATTAGTGTACAGTGTACGGTCAGTAAGTAAGCAATTGCTAAGTGTAATTTAAAAAACATAAATAGTAATACTTGAATAAAGAAAAATACCCGGCCTTGCTAGTGGACAATATTTATAGTATTTGTTTTTTTCCCTCGTGAACTCCCCGAGGTAAATGAGGTGGACATTTATCGGTTTTATTTTTATTTTTAGGCACAGTTGGAAAGCTTAAGCGCCATCAATTAGACCGAAAGTATATCAAGATAAAAAATAATTAACCAGTACAGTACAAACCAAGTAGAACCTTAACCAGTAAATTAACAAACTCGATGAGAAGTGAGTATCTGTAGATACTGGAGCCCACTTGGTTTATAGTGAATTGGTTTCTTATTATCTACAGACCAGCATCGACGCATTAATTAAAAAATCACCTTCAAATTTAATAGCTTCTTTAAACCACTATATACTAATTTATTGCTGTACTGGTTTAAACTGCACTTTGTTAGGTTTGTAATAAGTTAAAATGTAGGCGGTATTTAAGAAAAAAAAATTGCTTTAATAAATTTTGACAATGCCAATTTACATATATGTGTATTTTTGTGTTAATGTGTGTGTTTACACAGTTGGAATCGGACCGTATCTTAAGTAGTAAAGTTAATATTATCGGGAATTTTTGTCTAAAAAGTGGAAAACCTTCAGATAGGTCAGTCCCGTCAAATGGGTAATATAAAATATTATTTTCTGGATTGTTTGCCGTTATGGGAATAGGAAATTCGGTTAGTGTTAGCTCAGTGTACAACCGACAGTTTCGGTAACAACGACGAAGTGAGTACCCTGCGTTTGTTTAATTAATTAATTTACAGTTCGAGGGCTTTTGTCTTTTGTTCAGAGCTTCGCAGTCCGTTGTTTGACTTGCTGTCTATAATGAAGATTTCCGAGAAAGCGATAATCCGAAAATCTACGAAGGTAATAATTACAGAAAACACTCTTTTGCGCACGGTTGTAGTTTTCTTGCTTCCTATTTACACATTAGGCGAGCAACACAATATTATTTTAAAATTTACAAATAATATAAAAAAAACAATCAGTGCCGGCAGCGTTTCGGCCGTTCGGTTTATGGCTTTCCGGTTTATTAGCAATAAATAATACACACACAGCCGCATTGTACTTTGGGCAAATCTCAAAACCGTTATCCGCTCGCAGTATCAGCGTTTCCCACTGCCAGTATCAGTAACTACGTTCAGACACAGTGTCGTTACTTTAACGCATTTAGGTTTCAATAAACCACCGAGCTTATATTATCCAATACAATAATAATATTATTCAGCCGAAGGTAACGCACTGTAACAGTCCCAAAGAATATTTGCATATCGCGTTTAAATAATACTCAATCGTACAAAAACTAAATAGGCACACATTTTTATTTGCATTTTACAATATTCGGGTAAGTGGATTGCACTCCGTTTAATTAATAATCAGGCAGAATATTCTTTGGGCAGAATTAATTGGCAAGGTTCATTTTACGCACACACAACACTTGTCTTGGTTTATTTTTAGTAAATTTTTCAGAGAAGTTTCGTTACTTATTAGAATCGTATGTCTTCCTTCAAAGCACTTTTTACTATTGTAACTTAAAATTAAAAAAAAAAGTATAGTTGTAAGTAACATATAATGTTATGCATCAATTTTGGGCGAATTGTGCTGAAATAAAAACGTTGATTTTCATTCTTCATCCAATATCAAAATAGAATTTTTTTGTTCCAAAATTATAATGTCATTTCATGTACCTAGCAAGTCTATAGATCAGAAATTGCACTGAAGAGATACTTTATTGGGCCGAAAATTAAAACAAAATATCTCTACTCCTTCAAAATTGAGAAAAACGCCCAAACGATTTTCATAATTTTTCAACTTAAAAAAATGTTAAGGTTAAATTAGTTCAAAACCGGTGTATAATAATTCACATATATACATAATACAGTCAATAGACGTTGACAAACTAATAAAATATCAACAGCCCCTAGAAGGGTTGTTGGAAAGTTTTTCTTTATTTCTCTTTTTAGGAGTAGTTTTAAGGCTTAAGTCTTAAGGTATACACTTTCAGTTGTAAATAATTCCTGAAAATCTGTGACCTACTCGACCCAAGTACACTCAGTTTTGCCTCGACCCCACTTTACTGGCTATTCTTTGTTTCAATAAGCATTTAAACGAAATAATGGTAAAAAATAAAGTACAAACCTGTAATATTAAAGTTAATATCCATGTAAAATCCGACAGTATATATGTGTACATCAAGTTTGTGTGGATTTTGTTTCTCAAACAACGTAGATCTCTGTAAAAACCAAATTTAATACATTATTTTATATTTTTACATACTTGGACATATTAGCTTGTAAACAATTTCCAGTAATTAAAAATGTCTAATGACTATTATGTTTAGTCAAATCCAATATAAACATCAAACGGTATAAGGTGATTGTTTAACTACAACTAAGACAATACTTAGTTTTACAGTACTACAATTCTATCTTAGAAGATATTTTTAACTTTTTTTTAATTATTCTTTTTATACTTTTATGCTTAATAGTTAACTAGTTGATAATAGTAATTAAAAGTAAAATAGTTAATTTTTATGTAAATTCCTGAAAATATAACCCCATTCTCTATGTATTAAAAGCTTATAAACTTAGACTTATTAAACGGTAACTTATGTATTTGATTAAATTGAATAATTAAGAATAATTTGCTGAAAAATTCGAGTGATGGATGGTTAGATCTTAACGATTACTATTATAGTTGTTAGAATTTAAAACTAAGGGGGAATTCAAAATTGGTTATTGACCATTGAAATTGTCAGCAAACTATTCCTAATTTAAAAAGACAATTAAATATATTAACACCGTAGGTTAATTGCAGAATAATTTGTTTTATTTTAAGCTATTCATTTTCAAAAAACGTTTATCTACTTACTTGAAGTACATGAAAATCGAAACTGCAGCTAGCAGAGCTACTAACGAGATTATGTAGCCGTACAGATAACAGTATGTGGTGTAGAGAACCGTAGGATTCTCGATTTCTTTTGGTTGTTCCAAAGCAAGAGCAATGCATTTACTGTAATCCGTCTTCACCCAAACACCATCAACGCCACACAGTCGGCTGGCGTTTACTGGTAAAAAAAAAATGATGTTAATACTACATCATAAACATATTTTATACAAGTTGAGCACATTTTTGACAATACAAATATTGCATTTAAAAATGATTCATAAGTTATATTGGAACACGAAGAGTTATACCTATTGAATATTTGTATTGTCAAAAATGTATCAATGTAACAATTTATCATAGACGATCAACCCTATAATGGTATCCGATAGTTCGACCAACATTCAGACTAGTATACAGGGTGCTCATGTTTTGCACGCTATTCGATCAAGATCTACTGTAAGATTACCGGTTTTGTTTCTGCGTCGGTTTTCAATGGTATTTTAATGTCCGTGTAGTGCAAATCAAAGTCTTCTCTGCCTACCGAGCTAGTAAAGTCCGTCTATTTGGCAAACGACGCCGACAGGGTAACCAAGCCACTCGTCTACTCAAGTGCAGATGCCTTTTGAGAGTATAATACAACATGTATCATTCGCCAACATCGAGCGAAATAGCAATTTACAGGTCATTCTGTATACAACACAATTTATCCTAAGTGGACAGAATGCCCCATATCATAGTAACTGGCCACCGTTCAACCCGACAGACGTACTTTGACGGCATTTAAAAGTTTAAAAGTTTGTCTGCAAAGTCCATAAATAACCGACAAATAATTTATACTGGCATATTATATTGGAAAATGTAAAACGTTAATATGAAATATGAATATAATAAATATAAGACTTTTTTTTAGTTTATAGGTTTATAGTTTAGTTGTAGATGCAAATGCCAACTGCTTAATTCACATCACAGTCATTTTTATTTTTTATCTTTCCAAACGGAAACTCATATGAAATTGTAAGTGGGACGGTATTTCACAACGGCCACACCTTAGGTATGTGATTAAAACCGTCGACCGTGTATTATAATTAAGTCCTTATGGTTACGGCGATAATTTATAAGGTGTTATGATTAAAACACACACCGAAGTCTTTACATAATCCCGATGACGGTCTGGCCGGGTTAGAATGTAGTTATAACGGTGTTTGCCACAGCGTTGTGTAATGGTCGAATGGGATAATTGGAAAATAGCAATTTAATATTTTATGAATTGGGCAAAAGAAAATTAATAAAAAAGGCAGTACTCAGTACTTGGTATACTTAGTGAGAATAATATTAGGTAGGGAGAAGACACGGTCAACAAGAATGTAACCGCATGGATCTGTAAATGATATACATCAATCTATAAAAGCATATCACAGTATAATATAGTTTTAAGCACATTATAGCTATACATATAACGTACTTAAAGCTTTATTTTGAGTAAAAATTTGGATAATACAGCTTTAAGGTGGAGTTTTATGGAGTATAAAGATGGATAATACTGTTTTAAGCACATTATAATAATTACATCTAAGTAATAATGTGCTTAAAGCTATATTATTATGAGTATACAAATGAATAAGGTAAATGTTAAACTATAACTTTTATACTTTTACAACTACCACAGGTTAAATAACATTGTAATGTATTATATTGTGTCACAATAATCAAGTTTGTTAATAGTTTTTTAGTTTTTGGATTTCCTTTTAAACAAAACTGATCGACTATAGGTTTTTTTCTTTAACAAACGTGTTATATCCCCCCACTCTAGATCTACCTTCAGTCAATTTACAATTTTGCTCGAAAAATATAAAAAAAAGTTTCCACCCCTTCTAGGGCTTATGATATATTTTATTTGTAGTATTCAACGTTTATATCGGTAGTACTTTAATTGTCTAAGGAATATTCCATTCAAGTTTCAGACTAATTTGGCTATTTCTAAAAATGTTATAACGATGTCATCATAAAAAAAAAAACAATTTCGTTTGTAGAAAATTAAAAATCTGAGGTTTTGCAAACGAACAGTAATTATTTATGTACATTTTTTTTAAGTAATCGTTTTTTTTTTTATTCATTTAAGTTGCTTAAATGTGTAAAGGCTATGAGGTAAAGGTATTTACCGGCTTAGAGTTAAACGCAACAAAACGGGCGGTTTTTTTTATCGAATACAAATTGTGTTTATTTTATTTAAAATAAGAAAATCATCGCAACAAACATGGTATATTATGGTTTATGAAAAATATGTGTATAATTGTGCAATAAAAGTTCAAACGATCTGCGTTTGCAAACTATATTTACTTTTCTTTTTTGTTTCTTTAACAATAATATTTTTCTTTTAATCTATTTTTTATTCCGACTCCGAATGGAACGCGGTATGTTTATAGTAATATTTTAATAGCATCATAAAACTATAACGACTTTAGGTGTGCACCGAGATTTTATTTAATGCCGGAGCTCGCCGCACACGAATATACTTGAATTACATTTTTTTTTATTTTCAAAGTTACACTCTTTTGTCATTACAATATCACAAAAGAACCCGAGTTAAAAATAACCAACAACAGTGAAACGTTTTAATGAGTGTAGCTGTTATTATTATTATTTTTTTACTGTCTTAACCGCCCACTTTCATTTTTTGTATTTAGCAAATAAATAGTTAAATTGCAATAATATACTTGGCTACGTTGAACGTTCGAGCTAAGAAGTTAAACTGTAAGAACCACGTGGCTTTTACTTTCAAAAAGCACAACCAGTCAAAATATACAGCCTAGGTCTATAAGGTCTGGAATATTTTCAAACTATTCCAATAAAGGCTATTGATAAATAAAACCGCTGCCAAACATTGAAAATGACTTCCTCAAATATTCAACATACTATTATACTTACACTGGAAATGAATCACGTTAAAAATTTTTTTAGTTCTATTGCAAACGCATAATGAAAAAAAATCATAGAAAATGTTCTGTCCTGTGTGTTATTAAGTAGAAAACATGAAAAAAAAACAGAAATAACTTTTAACAAGCATTTTTATTTGAAACCCATTGAAATAAGCAAAACCAGCACTTACAAATTTCATATAATAATATAAAATAGTTGTAACGTTATATAAACTTTCATAGCGCTCTGCTACAGTTTAAGTCAACCCAAAAAAATAAGCAAACTGCTATAAGCCCCTAGCCTGGGTTAAATAACAGTTGTGCATTCAAAACTTTTTTTTATAATCGTTTAAAATATATATTTCCAAAAACGTTTAGAAACTTTGAGTAAACAATTTGCCTGACAATTTTATTTATGTGTTGTCGTCTGAAAAGTAAAAAACAAATATCATTGAAACGTAATTTAGGGAGAGAAATATGGACAATATTTGCCAACATAATTGTTTTGTTTGAATAAATAGGTCTACCTAGTTATATTAGTCATGTTATGATGTTAATTTAGTTGCCTAATTATCGGTCCCCCCAAATAATCGCTGGGACAAAATATTTTCTAGTTAATATGCTTTAAACAGTAGTTAGTAGTTATAAATTCACAAACTAATTAAACAATGTCAATATACACTATATTTTCACTTAAAACCTTTTGTTTTATTAGAATTCGTATCATGTTATTTAATCGTGTGGGTTCAATTATTTTTTTTTAATTAATAAAAAACATAAATCTCCAGCTATTTCAAAAATTATAAAAAAATCGTTTTGATTTATCGACAGTCAATACAAAGCAGGAGCTATGTAGACACACATCGACAGCCCTTGTGTTAACAAAATAATTGATATACTATGCGATTTAAACAAGTGTGTGATCCAATAATTATTGAATCACATAATAGCTTATTAACATGCTTATAATGGCTATAAATTTACAAACACACGGTATAGTCAATTATATCATAATTAGTTTCGAAAATTAAAACTAAATACGGCACTTGTCTTTAAAAATACACTTATAAAAGGTAATTGAATTCAGTATTAAAATCTGTACGCGTTTAATTTATTTGTAGGTTTTTTTAATAATAGGTGTTCAGTTTTTTTTTTATTATTATATTTGGTTCTTCTGCACACATATAATTTAGGCTAACTAAGATGTTTTTTTCTAAACAAATCATTATAATAAAAAAAAAAAACAAATATTCCATTTAACGCCGTACAAAATATATTTAGTATATAATACACTTCTTTACACACTTAAACGATTATAATTTATAGTCCCAAACGTTATTGACCAGTCTTCATTTCAAAACAATGTACTCATTAAACGGCTATTTTGACTTTTTTTTTTTTGTAATAAAATAAATAGTTTTTACATGCTTTTCTTTAACTTGCTAACACGTACGTTTGTACAAGTATTTTTAAAATCTTGCAAAATTAATTTTACCCACTTTCCGATGTCGTAGAGGGCTGAAACTTGGCACAGACACTCATCTCGGATGACAATATAATATCATGTAATTATATTGGGACTCGGACATCCAGGCTACACAGGATGATATGTGGGAGTCATTATACTGAAATTGCATGTTTTATCAAATCTTCCAAAATAAATTTAGTAATCTAACCACCAATTATTAAGTAGCTTTAATAAGACTAAAAAGTAAAAATTAAATTTATTATTTAAAAAAAAAATGTTTATTAACGTTTTTCTAAAAATTAGTAAAAAGGTGAACTAAATTGTAAAAAAATAATTTAACTACAAGAATAATTTACCAATCATTTATAGCACTTTTTATTTAAAATGCCAATTATTACTTTAAAAAAAACGAAAATTAACTACAATTTTAAATAATGTTAAACATCTTTTACTTTTGATTAAAAAGAAAAGCGTAAACCCATTTAACAGTCCCTAATACATTTATCAAATAACATTTTAGATAATGTTTTATATTGTAAGTTTTTTGTAATTTAAATTTGGTTCATTTTTAGTGTGTCATAATACTTAACTCAATGAATTTGGACTTTGTTGAATAAGGCCCACGGTTTTCTTTTTAAATGTAAAAAATTAAAGTTATCAAATATTATTTAAAATTGTAGTTGATTTTCGGTTGTTAAAGCAATTGACATTTTTAATAAAATATGCTACGATTGATTGGTAAATTGTTCTTGTAGTTCAATATTTTTTACTATTTTTTTATCCAATATTAGGAGTCTATAATCTAACAAATTATAAGGTAAAACTAAGGAGCCTCGCGACTGTGATAAAATTAAGCGTAAATTGACTCTTGGCATATTATCCATCAATTCAAGTTCCCAAATTTTTCCAATTTCAACTCTGAAAAATTTTTGAATTCCACATCATCTTTTCTGTGGTTTCACGTGTCGGCTTTAAGATGTTCTTATTTTCTAATATTTTATAACAGTATAAAAAAAAATTGTTTACAAAAGTTAATACTTTTACTTCTAAATATATTTTAACAATATAATACGAGTATAATACTTGAAACAGAAAAACCTGAAATTAGAAAAACTGCATTTACTTAATATGTTACTTAATTTATCACACTGGAATTTTTTTTTTCAGAAAAGCAGAAAAATGAAATTAATTATTATTACATTATTTGTGATACTTTATGCAGCATTGAGTGTTAATGGAGCACCTCAAAGTAAGTTATGAAATAGTTTATCTATAATGAAATATTTAATATACATATACATAATAAGCGCATATTTCTTTTGACTCAGTTGAACTACTTGTAACATAAACAACATTATAAAAAAGGGATTTTTTTTTTATTTTCATTACCTCACTTTTTAATTTTTTTATTACAGTTATCATACTATCGTACCTTTAAATGTACTCAGTTGTCGTTAAAAAGGTTAAACTATTTTTTTTATTATAAAGCATTTGAATCAACCAAAACATTTTGATTTCGTTAATAATAATGTAAAAATGTAACGTTTCAATTAGTCGTGTTATTATAATAAAATATGCAATGCAAAAAGTGGTTTTAAAGTGTAAATAATTTGTTATAAAAAAAACATTGTTTTATAGTAATATTATTCCGTCTATGGTTTTGTCAAAACCCTTTTTATATTTTTAGAAGAAAATAAAATGTATTTATTAAAAGTAAATATTTTACATTCAATATGTAGGTATTACTGTAACATCACTTATACATAAAGTGTTTTATTCAATTCTTTACAAAAAAAAAAAAATAAAATAGTACACATTGTTTTTGATAAAGATATTTTAATGTATAACATTAATATGTTTTTGTTTCATTTTCAGTATCCAGTGAGATACACGGATTATGGCCAGAAGAAGGATACCCGGACACCCCGTAATCTACGACTACGAGTGTGGACAAATGGATCCGTGCTTTACGGTTTCCAAATTATTAAGAGAAAAAAATTACAATTCATAATAAAAATGTTATATTAATTTTCGTAAAACTATAACACAATAAATGATTTAAAATGAAAATAATTTGCGTTTATACAAATATCAAATATTATTATTTATGTAAATATATAATATTACATTTTAGTAAACGGTAAGCGTTTTACACACTAATAAAATATCTAGATCCATGATCGAAAGACATCTGTTTAAAAAAACTACTATTACCATTACGGATAAAATTTTTGTCAAGGTAGCAGAAAAGTTTTGCAGATTGTCCGAAAATTTAATTTTTTTAACTCCTTATAATGGTATGTTTATTAACACAAAATCATTTTTACAAACATCACGTTAAGATTTAATAATTGCTTTAACTCGAGTTTTTTCTAACATCTCCTGTACTGATTTATACTGTTCTCAGTCTCTAACTGTGCTTGGTTTTTGTTATTTAAATTTATTTCTATACAAAATGATTTAAACTTTTTTCAGTTTTTACCGACTACTACCAAACAATAATATTGTTTTAATTTATTTATCAGTTTAACGTTAATAAGACTACAATGCATTAGTGAAGTTTAAAGTTAACAAATAAACAGGAACTTAAATAAAGATGATTTTTTTTTTATACACATAATTAAAAAGACAACTTTTTTAGTTGTAAATAAAAATTTCCATATTTTTAAGTATTTTTAGGACCTTTAACATGGATATGTTATTGGGCCCAGGTCAATCTGTGCGTGCATGCATCACGCTGAACGTTACCGAGTATATATAGACACATAAGAAATAAAAAGATAAGAGATAAAAAAAATAGAGTTAATGGAATAAAGATAAGATAAAAGATGTCCGGCCGCAATTGTTGTACGGCCGAAGAGCCGATGACGTTTTTAACTACCAAAACAACGGTTGGCCATTTTAACCGTTGACACTGAACAGTTTGTAGCCATTTTATTTTTAACACAATATTGTTTTTAACTTGGCCAACTATAATATGTAAGTCCTTCGATATTTTATCTTACAACAGTATTATAGTATAATAAGATAATATTTTAACCTAATCAGGTTTTCGTTTTTGATGTGTAAACATCTTTACGCGCGGTATGATGTTTTGGGTAGGAGAAAATTTGTGCAATTACCCGAAGTAGTGGTAACGGAAGTAGGACTGACGGAGTTGAATTTGACCGGTAAACGGAAGTAAATATTTCGGATTTATTATGTTCAATGGTATTAGAGGTGTATGCAGTGCCTTATTTATGCAAGGGCATAATGGGTATTTGTCCAGGGCCCACCTACTAAATTTAATCCTTTTAATTTAATTTACAATTAAAAATAATAGGCACATTTTGTCCGGGACCTCAAAAATTCTAAATTAGGCTCTGGATGTATGTTCAGTGACCACAGCGGACAATGCCTCGCCGTATGCGTAGCTGTACAACGAACTCTTTACCGACAACTTCAGTACAGAAGGAAAGAGTCATATTAAATTTCTGAAATATACCACTAACATCCAGATAAACTCAGATAGACAAGTGAGTACTAAGCAATCAGATACAGTCATAGATGCAGTATTTCAGCGGAAATTAGACAACATACAGGCTCGTGTTTATGTGTCTTATTATAGTTATCATAAACCAATAATATCAACAGTATAAAATATTAATCGTTTCTCAATAAAGTTATCGCACAAGATAAGTTCAGCTCTTATTTTTAATTTTATTTTATGTAGAACCCGAAATAAGATGTTTACACATAGCTATTGTGAGTACTTTTCGCGGCTCACTCGGTTTTTTATACTCGTTAAAAAAATATATTTCCAAAAACATTTTAGAAAATTTGAGTAAACAATTTGCCTGACAATTTTATTTATGTGTTGTCATCTGAAAAGTAAAAAACAAATATCATTAAAACATAATTTAGGGAGAGAAATACGGACAATATTTGCCAACAAAGTTGTTTTGTCTGAATAAATAGGCCTCCCTAGTTACATTAGTCATGTTATGATGGTAATTTAGTTGCCCAATTATCGGTCTCTCAATAAATTACGGGACAAAATATATTCTAATTAAGACTTTATTGCCGTACATTGACGTGATAACTAAAATGATTTACTATGCGATTTAAACAAGTGTTTGCTAAATAATTATTGATTCATATAAAAGCTTATCGACACGTTTTAATGGCTATACATTTACAAACACACGGTATAGTCAATTCATAATTAGTTTCGAAAATTCAAACTGAACACACCACTCGTCTTTAACAATACACTAATAAAAGGCAAGTGAGTTTAATACTAAAATCTATATATGTTTAATTTATTTGTCGCTATTTTATTAATCAGTGTTTGGTTTTTTTTTTATTATGGTTGGTTCTTCTGTTCTTGAGTTCTTCTGGCTAACTAAGATTTTTTTTCTAAATTAATCATTATTTTAAAAAGAAACAAATATTCTATTTAATGTTGTACATACAAAATAAATCTAGTTCATAACAAACTTTCTTACACACTTAATTGTCCAAATTCATTGAGTTATGTATTATGAAATGTATGTGCTACACACTGAAATTGAACCAAACTTAAATTACAAAAAAACTTACAATATAAAACAATGTCTGAAATTTTATTTGATAAATGTAATAGGGACTTTGTTGAATAAGGCCCACGGTTTTCTTTTTAAATGTAAAAAATTAAAGATATCAAACATTATTTAAAATTGTAGTTAATTTTCGTTTTTTTTTTAAAGTAATTGACATTTTAAATAAAATATGCTACAATTGATTGGTAAATTGTTCTTGTAGTTAAATATTTTTTACTATTTCTTTATCCAATATTAGGAGTCTATAGTCTTACAAATTATAAGGTAAAATTAAGGGGCCTCGCGACTGTGATAAAATTAGGCGTAAATAGACCGTTGGCATAATTTCCATCAATCCAAGTTTCCAATTTTTCTCAATTTCAACTCTAAAAAACTCTTCTGTGGTTTCACGTGTCGGCTTTAAAATGTTCTTATTTTCTAATATTTCATAAAAGTATAAAAAAAAAATGTTTACACAAATTAATACTTCTAATTATTTTTTAACAATATAAAAAGCGTTTAATACTAAAAATAGAAAAACCTAACTTCAGGAAAACTGAATTTTATTATTATGTTACGCAATTTAACAAACTGGAATTTTTTTTTTTCAGAAAAGCAGAAAAATGAAATTTATTATTATTACATTATTTGTGATACTTTGTGCAGCGTTGAATGTTAATGGGACACCTAAGAGTAAGTTATGAAATTGTTTATCTATAGTGAAATATTTAGTATACCTATACATAAATAGCGCATATTCCTTTTGACTCATTGTCAGTTGAATTACTTGCACCATAAACAGCATTGTAAAAAGGGGATTATTTTTTTATTTTCATTACCTCACTTTTTTATTTTTTTATTACAGTTATCATACGATAACCTTTAAATGTATTCAGTTGTCGTTAAAAAAGTTGAGCTATTTTTTTATAAAGCATTTGAATCAACCAAAACATTTCGATTTCGTTAATAATAATAATGTAAAAATGTAACTTTACAATTAGACGTGTCATTATAATAAAACATGTAATGTAAAAAGTGGTTTTAAAGTGCAAATAATTTGTTATAAAAAAAACATTGTTTTATAGTAATATTATTATGTTTTTAGAAGAAAAAAAAATGTGTTTATTAAAAATAATCATTTTACTTTCAATATGTGGGTATTATTGTAACACCACTTTTACATAAAGTGGTTTATATATATCTTTATAAAAAAATAAATTACACATTTGATAAAGATTTAATGTATAACATTAATATGTTTTTATTTAATTTTCAGTGTATAGAGAGGGAGACGGACTTTGGCCGCCAAATTTAGGAAACCCGGAAACCCCGTGATCTACGACCATGTGTGTGCACAAATGGATCAGTACATTACGGTTTCCAAATTATTAAGAGAAAAAAATTACAATTGATAGTAAAAATGTAATATTAATTTCTGTAAGACTATAACACAATAAATTATTTTAAATGAAAATAATTTGCGTTTATACAAATGTCAAATACCTATTATTTTATATGTAAATATCTAATACTACATTTAAGTAAACGGTAAGTGCTTTTACACTAATAAAATATCTAGATCCATGGTCAAAAAACATCTGTTAAAAAAACTATTAATACGATATGACTATAACGGATCCAATTTTTGTCAAAGTAGCAGAAATGTTGTGTAGATTATCCCTTTAGTAAGAAAACGATAGTAATACCTAAAGAATAAAGTGTAACTTTTATTTCACAAGTATAGTAATTTGTTATTTTTAATTTAATTTGTTTTGCAAGTCCTTAAAATATGTTTAGTAACACAATATCTTTTTTACGAAAATTACAAATTTTTTTTTTTAAATATTAAATTTTTTTTCTTCATTTGGTATACTTGTTTTGTGATTTTTGCAACAAGCCGCATACTGAATTTCGAGTTATTTAGGCCAATAGTCATCGAAATCTACATTTATATTGTTCAAGTCACTTTTCCGGTTTTTTCATTATGTAATTTTGACTACAAATTGTTTTTTTTCTATTCACGTTATAAGTGTATGTTAGACCTATTATCAGACAAATTTTCAGCTCTTAAAACATCAAATTTCTTATATCGAGCACAATAATATATCCATGTTAAAATCGTATCTGAAAGGTAGGTACGTTAATGGACCAAAAATTCAAAAACTTCAACTCTTCCCCCTTAAAAATCGAGAGAAATTTACATATTTTTAACCTTAATGCACTATAACTTATAAAAAAAAACTGTTAAATTAGTTCTAAATTTGTATCGAACGATTTTTTACACAAAATGCTTTCCGGAAACGTTGAGAAACGTAGAAATATCACAAACCAGAGTTGACACATTTTTCGTCATTTATCTTTTTCCAGTATAGTTTTAGGTACATTTTGTTTGAAAGAAGAACCGTCTTCCTTAGACTGAAGGTAGATATAGACAGTGTAGGGCCGCTAAGATGTATACAACATTTACCTAGACAACGGCTTGTATATTGTGCGGATGTGTGTGTTTTTTCTTTTTTTTTAAATACATACAAGCTCGACGTACAATGTCCGACGACCAATTCGAGTTGACGGAATGGCAAGAGCGGTGTCTGCGGGGCCCGCGGTTGACGATGACGGCCGCACAGTTGAGCGACGTGCGAGCGGCGTTCGAAACGCTCGACAAACACGGCACGGGCGAGCTGAGCGTGTCCAGCGTCAAGGTGGCGCTCCGCGGGCTGGGCGCCGAGCCGGTGGACGACGCGAAGATGACCGAAGTGCTGACGCTGGCCGACATCGAACCTTGCGCCGCCGTCGTGTCGTACGACCAGTTCGTCCGGCTGTTCGGCCGGCTGCTGTGCGCGGCGCCAATGACCCCGACGGAAGTGCACCGGTCGTTCTCGGCCATCGGCTGCGGCGGCGACGGTCGCATGCACTTCCGTCACTTGCGGTCGGCCGTCGACGCTTGCGGGTTCGATTTCAGCGACGAACAAGTGACGGAAATGATAGCGTTCGCGTCGTCCGGCCGCAATTGTTGTACGGCCGAAGAGCTGATAACGTTTTTAACTACCAAAACAACGGTCGGCCATTTTGACCGTTGACACCGAACAGTTTTTAACCATTTGGTTTTTAACACAATATTGTTTTTAACGTGGCCAACTATATGCAAGTCCTTCGATATTTTATCTTACAACAACAGTATTATAATATACTAAGATAATATTTTAACCGAATCAAGTTTTCGTTTTTTTTTTATTCTTTAATTACGAAAAATTAATATATTGTCGACGTTTCAAAAAAATGTGATCCCATCAAAAAGCATTCACTTAACTAATAATTCTTCCAAATTGTATAAAACATTATTCAATACAATTATTGCATACTTCTCGAAGACAGACTACCCAAGTCTTACCTTGGTGATAACTAAAAATTACAACTTTTTGAACTGTATCGCTTTTGAAACACATGAGTGAAAACAATAATGATGAGTTAAGCTCATGATTATTAATTTTACAAATAAACCGGGCAAATTGGGTTTCGAATAACCATAATTGTTAGGTACTTCATCAATTTTTTTTTTACTTTTTATCTGTTGCCCGCATTATTGTACCCGTTGGAGAAATAATCGAATAACTGCAATGAACCTTAGTTCACAATAAAAATTAAATGGTTCATCTCATTGACATTAAAAATTAATTACATTCGTTAGTGATGCACGTCGTTAAGACAATATTACCTAGGTTGGTCCTTTGTCTTAACATAATATAAACGCATAATCCTATACCTACGACGTACAACATTGCATTGTTATATGGTATCTACGATGAAAAGACCAATAAAGTAACTCGATTACTCTTAATAACACCAAGCCACTTATAAGACTCGGGGAGTCCATTAAATTTAATTAGACCGGAATCGGGGCTAATTTGATTGTAAGAGATAAAAAGGTAAGTATCCATGCGATACTTAAACAAACTGTAATAAGAATACACGACCGGGGCCGCAAGGAGGGTATTTATTTTCAGACTTTTAATGTACTTGACTACAGTAGTATCGTTGTACTAATTAGTACGGAGTATTCTTCAAGCATTGAACTATAGATAAAACGTTGACCATTCAAAAAAAAATATCATAAACCCTTTTCTCTCAGAAGGGGTAAGTCTTAAGGTCTAAAAATTACACTGAAGGTAGATCGTGGTGTGAGTGAATTAACAGTTTACATTAGGTTTATATATTATGTATAAAAATGGAGACAAATGTTTAAAGGCAGACGATGAATACTACTTGTACCTATTTACACCCTTTTACTTAAAATAGAATAATTTTGCTGGCTTTTAATTATGCTTTGGAACTTAACTAACGATATCTTCTAAACCGCTGAACTAAATCCTCCAATTAGCAAGTCTGTAGATCAGAAATCATACCGGAAAGGTACTTTATCGGGCAAATAATTTTAAAAAGTCAACCCTTTCTATTTTAAAATCGCCCTAAAAATCTAATATTAACACATTTATCACCTAAAAAATAATCGGATTTACTTGTAAATTTGTAGGGAATATTCTTAAAGTAATGCACTAGCAATACGCAAAAAGTGGTTGAATTTTTTTCTATTATCTGTTAATTATTTTCAAGTTTTACAAAAATAGTGCGCATCGGTTGCACTTTAGACCTATAATTGTATAGAGATATTTTATTTAACAATTTATTCTTATACAGTAGCTGATGGCAAAGTTTACTACCGCAATAAGAAATTATTATTCCGGACTTTCGTTTGAACGATTTTGATCTCTCGTTATTCAAATTAACTCACTTGCAACACGGCCACTCTTGACCTAAGCTACCGTTTTGATTAAATGTCTGTATTAATAATAATTTATACATAAGCGAGATAACCACAGCACATTTTCCGTGGAACTATTGCCATCCGTGGCCTGTATTATATTTCATAAAGTGGAATATATAGTATGCATAGTTACATACACAAACAATAATAATCGTTCTTAGTAGAACAAACTATATTACACAGGTTGTACGAACCATCTTTAGATCTAATATCTATATTAATACACCAAACTACAATCGATCATATTTTGAAAACAAAACAATAGAAGTCTGGCCGAACAATTTGAATGCCTTGTGCACTTTTCAAACAAGCTTAGAACTGTCAGACAGAAAAGCTTAAGTCTATAAGGGGAGTGAACACGTGGGGATGGGTTTGTATTTTGAAATGCATATCAAAATTGGCCCATCTATTGACTATAAAAGTATAAATAATTTTGAAAAACCCCAGAATACCTCTTAAGATATTGACTGGGTCATAGCTGACCAACCACCTTGTAGAAATACAACCACGAGGAATAAATGCAATTACTTTTAATCGAAGACAGTTTCTTGCGACTTTGGCGTTTGTATTTTCTCTTGTACAGCCGCCTATCAATTACCGGTAACAACTAATCGGCTTATGGCTGGATCGGATAAACGTCGGTTAAAAATGAAATTAATCATTATTATTTCCATCGTTGTTATAGTGGTATGGTATTATATAATATGTCAAAGGATTGGTTTGAATTTAGCTGGACAAAAATTTAAAAAAAAAACATCACACAACATAATATCTATATAAATGTTATTTTAGTTGTTACCTTAAAAGTCTTGCGACGTTTACCAGATAATACACATAAACTATATATTTTTAAAATAATGTTGAAAAAAAACATTATCGTTAAAAAAAAAGGATGAAAATGTTCAAAGTACGTTAAATAATTTTTAAAACAGATTAACCAAACGGATTAACCCATTATAAAAAAAATAGCTTTATTACATCAAATATTTTAGAGTAATATATTATGTTATATAAAAATCTATTAACATTTACATTTTCAATAACAGTATAAAGATTTACAATCAAATACAACAAGTAAAAAATAATGTTTTAATTGCAAAGTTTGAGATTATTTTCGACGTTTGCGACGGTCGGTATTGAGAATAACAATTATTATACTTAAAATTCTGTTAATGGAATATGTTGTTTGAAAAAAAAATATATAATAAAAATCAAGGCTGTCAAAGCAAATCTAGATCCGAGTCGGTGTGTTCGATGGGAGGAGCCGAATTGATCGTAACACATGCCATTGTGCGTTCGCATTAAAATGCTTCGAAACGTAAAATACTATTACATTTGGCTTGGAAAAAATAGTCGGCACAAATATATTTCAACAAGAATAAAATTTAAAAAAATAAAAAATCCAACGCCTTCGAGTGAAAATGTTTCAAGTAAAAGTTAGTAATACACACACACACACACACATTCCATTAAGAACATTGTTGTTGTCGAACAAAGTGTTAGTATATAAATGTAGTAAAAAAAAATACAAAAAAAACAAATTATACAACTAATGTTCAAATCTTTACATATTATTATATATTTTTGAAAATTGTATTTCCCGAATTCGCGTTTAAACTATGAAACTATTCCAATTTAGCGTCCCGTTGTGAGTGTTGTTCAGTTTTGTTTTTTTTTTTTGTAAATATATTTCCCATTAAAACAAATCAAAGACCTCAATGGCCTACATTTTACCTTGTTATTTATTTGTTCATAAGAATATTTAACATTAATTTTCGCCAATGGCTAAGGTAATGTATACTACATCTTGATGAACTACATCTACTGTGTGTGCATATTATTCAAGTGAAACAATAAAATTCTGAGTGCGCTTGCTTGAGAAACATAATCGGTCGAATACAAATTAAAGTAGATTTATTTCGTCACAAATTAAACAGTTCAAATTTAATATTATAATTTATAATACCACAAAATTGATAATTTGTTCAACTGCGCCATTGGTGGGTGTAACTGATTAGTTTATGATTAAATTACACAATTGATTAAAACCAAACTAATTAACTAAAACATTTAATAATTGTTTAAATACAATCAGTCGGAAATGCAACCTAGTAACCTTGTTATAATACTATTAATTCAATTATAACGTTACTCGATTTAATTACTCAATTTTTTTGAGTGGTGTGTGTATCTATTTTTCAAATTGGAAATAAATGTTTAGCTACAACTAAATATTTACAAATGAATAATATTATCATCTATACTATTTTATCATAATAGTTGTGTTGAAATATTTAATTATGTGGGTTAAGTAAACCCGTAATACATATTCATGATAAATAAATGTTTTTTTGCGTGGAGCAAAGAAAACCAACTACTTTTTCATAATTCACACTAGTTTTAATTCTGACCTGTCTTGGGACGCGGTTATAAGTTTTATCCAAGTATTAAGAATACACAAACACTATAAAGCTAATTATTTTTAGTCTTTTCAGTGTATACCCAAGAGATAAATATGACGACTGAGTAATAAATCTTTTTTACAATACATTGTTAATTTTGGTACAAATTCAAATATACTTTCGATAGCCAGTTTTGGGCGCAATTGATTACTTTGAATAAGACAGTCGATTAGAATTAATTAAATTATTCAATAATTATTTTTAAATGTTTTAAAGTGATCAGTTTTTATTAGGATAAAACTTATAATAGTCAATCGTCGAATTGTAATTTATGATATTACCTTAAAACAATACTCTTTTTTTTAACCATAATTAATATATCATTTAATAATTGTTGGTTGTTAAAAAAAAAACCACGAGTTACCGCTAGTTGTTAAGAACAAAGCAAAATTTGTGACCGTACATGTGTTAATGGTAACAAATACATTTAAAATAGAAATATTTTCCGAATACTTATTGTCTGTTGATTTATCGTTTTTGTTTATTATCAAAATCTAAGTAGTTTCTTCTCTTTGCTATCTACCCTAAAGATATAATAACTTAGTAGTAAATTTATTTTACAATACATTGTTGACCTATGTTGAATAATTATTGTACGTACAATCGGTTACATAAAACTAATCAATAATAACTTATTACATTTTTAGAAGTAATCGGTTATTATGATTACACTTGTAATAGTTAATCGCCGAAACATGATGTAATAAATTATTACACATTTTTTTGTAACCTCTCTTAAGGATTTATTTATTACACATATCATGACATTATTTTTTTTTACATAAACCTTTTGGTATTTGCACAATAACTACCAACTCTTTATTTAAGAATAGTTAGTTAGATATTTTAAAACATAAATATTATGAGTTATCACTAATTGTTAAAAACAAAATAATATTATAATCATATTGTTTTTATGATTATGAATACTTTTTTAATGTAATCATACCATATGATTGCTTTCGTGGTTATTGATTCCATTAATCTAACACCGTGATAACTAATTACATTTACTGGTCAGATCAATAGACAAAACGCAATATTCCAACACCGATGTAGTAAAAATAATGTATTTTCTTGGCAGACAATTTTTTTCTTAATATTCAATTCGGCAAAAAACGACCAACTGGAAATAGTTGTTTAATTAATTTTTATGAAATTCATTTGGCTCGTTTTTAAACATCCGTTGTGTATGGTATATAAATTGTTTATTAATTTAACGTTAGTACTGGTTACAATATTGTTAGTGGTAATCGTAAAATAATAAACTAAAAGAAGATAGTCGCTTAGATGTTTAAAGATCATAAAAAAAAAATATTTTATCGCACTCATCTCCGCATTTTATAAATGCATTCTTTCAATATACGTAGATACATAAAAGATATAATTAAATATTTATGGTACCGTTAATTTTTTTAAAGTTAACCTCCCCTCCCCCATTCTTATTAATCTTGTTACTGAAGGGAAATAAATACAATGTTTTTAATATATTATTGCATGATGAAAATTAAAATATTTATACTCCATTATTTCTCAATTTTTTTGTATATCAGCAGAAAATCAGGTGGCTCATGTTATTGTGAGTATACCTTGTAAATGGAATGTGGTTTGTAGCCATTTCAAATAATAATTCGTCAGCTATTTCAATTAATATTAATAACATATCCGTGTTACTCACGTGAAGTGTCATAGTGGATTCCATTCAATTCGCTAAAACACGACTGGGACACTAAGGTTCCGGCTTTTGTTGTATTCCAACATAGTATATTATCCGAAATTCGAGGGCACCAACCACGAACCGTCGTGTTTTCAGCCGGACACTCCTGCAATTGAAAATCAAACTTAAATACATGTTTTGTTTTTTTTCTGGCACTTTGTAACAAATTGCAAAAACTTACCACTCTTGTTTTACCCAAATTCATGGTGATCGGTATTTATTCTGATGGCTAAAACATAACGACACGAATGACATTAGACCAAAGGGTAGTTAATTTAAAAAAGCCCAGCACATTTTGGTTGGGGCATAAAACTTTGTGTAATATGGCTGAAAGCGTAACTAGATTCAAATTCTGTCTGTAAACGCATGTCGCATAATCAATTATTGTAGCAACAAGGCGAGGGTTGCCTTGAATGGTATATATATATATATGTATATTTATAAAGGATGAGAAAGTGGTCCGTTTATTTTAATGGTAGTTTATTCATCGAACCCGTCGGTTTTTTGGGGTCTGACAGCACGATATAGGTTGCTATTAAACACTAAGCAAAGGGACAAGTACCGTTTGGAAAGAATGGGGTTTTGCGGGACAAACGGTTTACTTTGGTCTCGCTAAATTACCTAAATGAATGTTTATTATTATAAACGAGCACATCCCATCGGTTTTGTAGTAAGTACATTGTTGTGTAATATTGTATCAACGCGTGGAGACGAAATCGAATATTTAAATTTTTTATATTTTAGCGCCTTTAGATCAATATGGCTAAGTGATTCAAAATACATTTTAAAAAATGCTTTCAAAAGGTAAACAAAAAAAAAACTTACTCAAATGCTATCCTTTACTCGTCAATAATAATGAACACGGTTAAGAAGGTAATTTAGATTTGTTTTTTTTTTTTTTTAATAGCACTTAAGGCGTTGACAGTTTGAATTATTCAATGTATTATTCGATTTGTCACAAATGGAAATTCCTCGCCCATCAAGAAAGTACATTCGAAAAAAAAATATTACAATAAGACGTGTACAGTCCAAAGAACGTCATTTTTCATTGATTGCATTTAATCGGATAATGTCAAAATCACAAAAGACATTAAACAATTAATCTCGACAAAAAAAACCAACGCTGTGAGCTGTCACAATGTCTTTAAGTTCTGGCTAAATGATAGCATAAAGAGATCAAGTTTTTTTTTTAGTATACCGTCCAACAATGAGAAAAAAGTAGTTTTGCAAAACTGTTCGTGTTGTTGTTATATTTAAACAATCACTAATTAACAGAGGCCAAATTAAAAACTATAACTATGTGCAGTTGTTGTGTGCAATCGCATTGATTGGTGTTTTTGCTATATTAATGGTGCGTGGGGTTACAAAATCGGCATTGGATATTACACAACTACACTTGGATGTGTTTGCTTTTGGGTGAACATTTCGCTTGATTTTTATTTATGTGTTATATAGACAATTTTAGATCATCTCCTTAGAGGTTATTACCGGGCACACGCGTCTCCGTGGCTTTTAGAGCTATAAAAGATCATGTGTATATTCCCGTGGAAACCCTTAAAAAGTGTTACTGACAAATGGAATTTCATATTTTACTTTTATTAGGCTCTCAGCGTCACAGACCATAATAAATACTTATATAAGGCATGCATTACATAAAAAACAGAAGATAAAAAAATAACCTACAATTTACACACGTTTGGCTGCTGCCGCTATTATAGTATAGTCTACGGTATACTAATGCAATAAAAATGCAATGTAAAATGTGAGACTTTACATTTTGGCTTCAAAGCGGATGGTTTATATATTTCTGTATCAGACCTACGATACTTTTTTACCGATTTCTTCATGTAGCTACTCTATAGATTAAAAATGAAAAAACTTTTTGTAGTTACTCTTTTTTTCCGAATTAAATATTAAGAAAAAAGTTGTCTGCTAAGAAAATACATTATTTTTACTACCTTGGTGTTGGGAAAATTGTGTTCTGTCTATTGATCTGACCAGTAGTTGTAATTAGTTATCACGGTATTAGATTAATGTAATCAATAACCACAAAAGCAATCATATGGTGTGATTACATTAAAAAAGTATTCATAATCATAAGAACAATATGATTATAATATTATTTTGTTTATAACAATTAGTCATAACTCATAATATTTATGTTTTAAAATATCTAACTAACTATTCTTAAATAAAGAGTTGGTAGTTATTGTGCAAATACCAAAAGGTTTATGTAAAAAAAAATAATGTCATGATATGTGTAATAAATAAATCCTTAAAAGAGGATACAAAAAAATGTGTAATAATTTATTACATCATGTGTCGGCGATTAACTATTACAAGTGTAGTCATAATAACTGATTCCTTCTAAAAATGTAATAAGTTATTATTGATTAGTTTTATGTAACCGATTATACGTATAATAATTAAACAATAAAGTAATTAATTGCGCCCAACGCTGGTTATCCAAAGTGTATTTGAATTTGTACCCGGATCAACAATGTAATCTAAAATAAAGTTACTACTCAGCTATTATATCTTTAGGGTAGATAGCGAAAAGAAGAAACTAATTAGCTATGTAGTGTTTATTATTTGGAAAAACTCTTACAACGGCTTTCCCTAAGAAGTCGGATTTACTATATTTGTTTTGAATTTAAACAAAAACGATAAATCAACAGACAACAAGTATCCCGAAAATAATTTCGTTTTAGATTATCTAGACCGTACCTAGACTTGTACCCATTGTTGTCTAAAATATTTATTTAATACAAATAATATATAAATAATTACAACATTTATTTTATAGAAGTATAACGGTTTTAGTACAGAGCCAAATATAATAATAACTTACATATTATATCCAAAATATAAACAACGACAGATTTTTATTTTTATTATACTAAAATCGTCAAAAAAATGGGATATGGCTATTATATTTTTTTATTTATATATAAGGCTAGACTAAAGTGCGCTTGTCCCACGTGTCTCGGTTTGGGTTACGATTATATACGTTACTACGTCTGCCCTTTTAAGTTTTATCCGTCGATATTTTCAACTGAAATATCAATCTTAGTCGTCGAGTTAAATATTACTATACACCTATTTCGAGTTATCGCTCACGGTCACGGGAAATGGCAGGTTTCGTTTGCCGACAAGAAGTATAGCCCACTTTTACATTTTGTTTTTATCGATACGAATACCGCAAGTCCTTTCGCCAAGGAATATTTTTTTATATATTAATCTGAAAACCAACATGTTCTCTTTATACAAACAACGCGTGCTTTTTTCGTCGTGGGCTTTTGTTTCGCTTTTGGCGTACAGGGCGTATAAATTAATATTATATTATAATGTTGTGTACAAAAGAAATGTTCAGGAAATGCAATGCGTACTTGAAAGGTATTGAGAGGGTATGCCCAGTGTAATGCTCGACTACAGTAAAAAAGAGCCACCCTCCACACTCAGCTTTTAAGCTTTGTTGATTTCGTTGGGAAAACGGGCGGCAGATGCGTTAAAAATTGAAATATATAATATATAAAAGATAAAATGTATATTATGTATGAACACTCGAATGTTTTCATTAGCTCATACATTTATTATAAATCAAATACACATAACACGAGGGTGTTTTATAATATTATAATTATACTAAAACGGCATACTCGTCGAAAACAAAAATCAAAAACTGCAATACAACGGGTGACTCGTTGAGGACAGGACAAGACAATCGTTTTCTTTTGAGATAATTACAATTTTATAGATTTCTTTTATAGAGACAGTTCTTTAAGATGATGTAGTGGTAACGTAAATAGTTAATTACATTTTTTTAAATCAAGATTAATCTGCTGAACATCTCGACCGGTCGATATCCGGTTTTCGTTATTAACTTTTAAAGTAATTAAACTTGAAAATCATTCGCTGTATATCATTAATAGAGATGTCTGTTTTGCATGATACATTGTGCATAACTAATTTTCATTTATATTCATAACTATTAATTAGTATTTTTTATTAGCTCGTGTATTTTTTTCTGTATTACTTACCATTTTCCTGTTAAATTAATTTTATAATTGTTTTATTATTTTTTTTTTTTTAATTTAATTTCTGTATGGATTTTATTAACTTCTCTGTAATAAAATAATTATGTGTTTTGATGTAATAATAAGTAAACTGTGTCTTCATGGCATTTTTTTAATACAATTGTTTGTTTACATATTGTTTATTTTGATAATACTTCAGATATACTTTCAATTACCAGTTTTGGGCGCAATTAATTACCATATTGTTGAATTACACAACAGATCACTAAAAAAAATTAATCTCCATGTAATTAATGAATAATTATATAATACATTTTAAAAGTAATCGGTTGTCATGATTACACTTCATGCAATAGCAAATCATCAAATTGTATTATAATGTGATAAATTATTACATTTTTTTAAACCGCTCTTACGCTTTATTAATTGTACATATGACATTAATTTTTCGAATATTAATATCTTAATATGTGATATATAACTAATTTATTATTTAGGAATAGTTAAGATATTTTAAAACAATAACACAACGAGTTATCACTAGCTGATTAAAATAAAGTAATACATTACTTTTTACTACAAATGTAATAATGGTAACAAATACATTTTTAATGTAATCAACCATACGATTACTTTGCTGTATATTGATTAAATAAATCTATCACCATGATTACTGATTAATATTGTTTATCGAATCCTTAAATCATTAAACGTATTACAATTCACCGAGGTAGTTAAATTAATATATTAACCATTATTATGACTTTCTGAGTGCCTAATAAAATTAGACTCTAAAGATTTGTAGTTTTTTTATCGAGTATCTCGGCAACAGCTTTAGCAGCATCCCGTACTTTGTTTATGGTAAATTACCTCAAAAATATATATATTTGTTATATTTTCTCATTTACTAGTCATCCATTAGGTGTCTTAACGGTTTGTACCATAGTATGTAGTGTGACCTAAGCCATCCCAACATTATCAAACCATAGACTGTAAACAGTAAAACTGTAATATAGTTTACCGTTGTATACTTTAATGAATTTGTCATACATGAGATCCGCTAAATATTTACCTCTTTTAGTGTTTACCAAAACTCTATAGACTTTTGAAACTTAAATGTTAACGTAAACAACTATAATGAACGTTTTAAATTAATAAGAATTTACTAAAAGTTTTGACTGGTCGATAATCA